AAGGAGACAGGGCATATAGACTTGCTTTTCTAGGGGAAAAAAAAAAGGGAGCCACCTTCTGGAGGTAGGGCCCATCTAAGCTCCCCTTCCCCTTTTAAAAGACATTGCCTTCCCTCCCCTCCTCTACCCCGTGGAGTGGGCTCAGTCTGCCTCCACCCCATCCCTATTTCCTGTTTTTCCTTCCTTTGATGAGGACTGACCTCTGCCCTGGGAGGCCCAAGCCTGCCTGCCAGCACCTTGCTGAGAGCACTTTTCAGGACTGGCAAAGGGAAAGTGGGGTGGGGGTGTCGGGGAGGGAGCTTGGCAGTGAGCCCTTATAACTGGCCAGGGAAGAGGGACAGCTTGAGAAGCAGCTGGCCTGGCTGCCCTTCAACCATTCAAGGGAGAGCCATATGCTGGGCAGGAAGTTGTCTCAGCCTCATTAGAAATGGGGCTTAGCAAGGGGCAGGGCCTCAGCTATTTGCTTAAGCAAGGAAGTGATGCAGTCCCAATTCAGTCTGGCTGGGAAGGTGGTTTGGAAAGCCACCGAACGTTAGAGCTGGAACGGCTCCTACCAGAGGAGTGTTAGGGCCAGGGAAGGAAGCAGCTTGCACTGGGGCAGACACACTGCCAGGCCAACACGAGAACCCGGGTTTCTTGACTTAGGCTGGGGACTTTTTAACTTGCTGCACTGAACAGACCTGCTTCATGGGTCCTTCTGACCTCTGGCCGATAAGGGCTTTTCCACTGGCTTCGGAAGGTTTTTGTTTGCATGCATTCACACTATTGTCTCCCTTCTGGCCTGCTCAGGGGAGTCGGCCTTGGCAAACTCCTTTGATCCTGTCAGGAACTAACCAGGTAATAGGGGAAAGCACTTGGCAAACTGAAGGAGCAGTGTCAAGGTTGGCTGTTACGATAAGGTCTTCAAGTCTGAAAGCTAGAAGGGACCTCGCTGGGTACAGTGCCTTTATTTTATAACCAAAGAGAGGAGGAGCTCAGAACTGAAATGCTCCTGGGAAAGACCAAACCTGGAAACATACATATCTATGGGGGAAACGGGACTTCCAGCAACCTTCCCAACACCTTCTGGGAAAAAAAAAAAGACCAGGAAAAACTGGCTAATATGTGTGGCTAACATACGGAATAGGTTATTAAAACTTGCCCAAAGAGGCCAGACCTGGGTCCACCCACTTCTGACACATACCTGACCAAGTCACCTAACTTGTCGGTCCAGACAACTCTTGAGGCTAAACTGAAGAACAGCTGGTGTGCATCAGGAAAAGGAAGTTCCATCCTGTCTGTATCGTAAATGCCTAGCACTTACCTCACCCGTTCTAAGGCTGCAGAGCCCTAATCTGCTTTGCCACCTAGTTGCCCCCAGTTTAACCTGCAGTATTAAATAGGGTCTGACTGGCAGCAAGGAATGGGGGGTGTCACTGGAAGTATCTGAGCAGAGGCTTCACACTGCAGAGATTCCCACTCTCAGTAATAACGAACTCCAGTTTCTTCCAGTCTGGTGTCAAGTCTATTTACTGCTAACTGCTGCCTGATTCTGGAGGAGGGAAGGAGTTAGACAACTGGGTGGTGCCATGGTGGATACAGCGCCAGGCCTGGAGTCAGGAAGACTGCTCCTGAGTTCAAATCCAGCCTCAGACACTTCCTAGCTGTGTGACCCTGGGCAAGTCACGTCACCCTGTTTGCCTTGGTTTCCTCATCTGTAAAATGAGCTGGAGAAGGAAATGGGAAAACCACTCTAGTATCTTTGCCAAGAAAACCCCAAATGGGGTCACAAAGAATCAGACAATTGAAATGACTGAACAAGGACAAAAGTAGTTGAGCTGTTTTCTCCAGGATCTCCTCCACACCCAGGGGCCGTGGACTGTGATAGATAACCCACTCATGATAACACATTAGTTAAAGCCAGAAAAAATGAACCAGAGCTGCCTCTGGCTCTTCTGGTCACATGACTGTCCTGTACAAACTTTGCCACCATACAAAAGGCCTGCACAAAGGCCAGTGGTGCCTCTCCCCTCACCCCCACCCCCACCCCACCTGACTCGAGGAGTAGTTTCTTAGGGCAGGGAAAGGAACAGAAACAAGCTCTCCTGGTCTAGTTCACACTAGGAAAGAGCTTTGTACACTAAGGCGATGGTGTATTTTCAGGGTGTTTTACAAACTGAATCCTGTTATTTCTACAAGGTCAATCAGCTTTGCTCGCTTCTAGCCAGGTTGGGCCTGGGTGTGTTAACCACACATGGCTTTTGTCCTTGTTGGAGGGGATTTTAAAGCCGCTCATTTTCTGAGTACAGCTGACTTTGAAAAACATTTCCTTTACTTAGGAGGACAAACAGATTTGTAAGAAAAGGTTTGGCAATCTTAAGGGATGCTTTCCCAGGAAAGGGACTCCATCAACCTAGATTATCAGTAACAAAAAAACACCCAGCATAATATCATATCATCCATTAGCAGTGTGACCATGGGTATTTCCCTTTCCCATCTGTAAAACTGAGACATCACCTGCTCTACCCATCGACAAAATGATGGGTGTGAAAATACTCTGATGGGGCAGCTAGGTGGTTCAGTAGATAGAGCCCTGGTCCTGGAGTCAGGAGGACCTGAGTTCAAATCTAGTTTTAGATACTTGACACTTATTAGTGGTGTGACCACGGGCATGTCACTTAACCCCGACTGCCTCACGAAAAAGAAAAAAAGAAAACACTCTGTAATAATAGAACATCATACACATATAAAAGGAATTATAGTAAAACGTAGGGTTTGGTGGTTGTCAAGGGAAAGTATGAGAAAAGGCCATTTCCAGAAATATCTATTTAAAAATAAATGGCATCAAAACTTATTTTTAAAAAATAAACAGCAATAATGGAAAGCGTAAGAAAGCAAGGACTAGTTAAAGTGTAGATTTTCCCAGTCTACTATAAGAAGTCACACAATTGAAACTAGAGAAAGTACCTCTCAAGTTCTCACTCATTACACTACACTCTTACTTCACCCTTGGGATGAAGACTTTCTGGCTTTAGACGAGCTCAGTTTCGTTTCCCGTTGGTAAATGGGGACTGTACTACCTGCTGAATCGACTTTAACAAAGGGGCCAGGATCCGATGAGATAGTAAAAGCAGCAAAGGGCAATACAAATGTGGAGTGGTCTTCTTAATTGTGCCCAGAAAGCAGCCTTTTCTGTGCAGGGACAGGCAGCAGGCTGAACACAAGGGAACCTTCAATGAACCCTCACAATGAGTTCACGGCAGCTGGTTGACAAGTGTACGTGGCAGGGGTTTGAGTGCAGCCTTTTCTGAGATGATAGGTCATTAAATGCCCTTCTAGAAATGAGTCTAGCTCCCAGCCAACAAAGCACAAAAGCAACTGACCCATCTGTCCTGACCGTGCATCGGGGGACCCCAAAAGTAAAGCAATATGTCAAGGCCACTCAAGTTCTATTGTTTATTGGAAGCAACCAGAGGTCACGGTATCCATGAAGGTTCCCCTTAGTTACCCGGCTCAGATTAAGCCTGTCGAGCTGCCCCAGGCTGGGGTTTGGGATAGAGGTAGCAGATTTACATAGAAACCTGTATTTTGGCGCTGCTCTCCAGCACCATCTCTGAAAAGCCACCATCAACATTCCTGGGGTAATAAGAGGAAGGGAGGCTGTTGCTGCCTCTTTTCAAAGGCAGTCGGTAGGAAGGGCTTGGTTACTCAAGGGCACTGAGCAGGAGCTAACAACCAAACGTTAGCGGCATCAGGGAAGAGGCGGCGTCCATTCAAAGCTAAGCTGTTTTGATCACCCAGTTTCTTCCAGAACTTTGATCACTGGAATTCTAGACTGGAACATTTTGAAAGTATTCCCCAGGCAAACCAGCGACAAGATAATTATTAATAATCATTTCTTTTATTAAAGTTTCCTACAGACCGACACTCACAGTTCCAAACGGGGCCCCCGGAAGGAGAGGACAAAGCCAGCCTCTTTGTGCCATTTTCACAATCTCAAAAACAAAACACAAAGGTAAATAGTTTGGGCTGCTGACTCGACTGCTGTGGGAGCCAGACTTCCTTGAAGAGAGGAGCACAGCTAAAGAGGTATAACAAAAACAATGGCGTTTCAAGCCATGGAGAATGACTGGCAAGTCCGCTTGACTTACGTGGCACCTAGCATCCTATGACAGTTTATTTTCTTTTAAAATGGTCGACCATACATACAGTGGAGTTCAAGTACAGAATCACAACTGTTTACAGGAATGAATACAAAGGTTGGCACAAGCTGCCAGCAGTCAGACACAGAGGAACCCCATTTCAGCTCTACCTTTCTCCAAGTTCCAAGCACCTCTGGAGCCTCTTTGGAAGTTGACCGTTGACACCCTGGGAGATCCTGACACATGACGCCCAGGGCCCCACCTACTGTTTCAGAGGCCCTTTTGGTAACAGCTGTGCAGTGTCCCTAGCCACAGCCCCAACACTGAAGCTGAACCACATGGTATGATACAGAGTTCACTATCAGAGGGGAAGCATCTGTCCATGTGGCCTCATCTAGCCATCCCTATCATCTGTAGTGCTTCCTGCAAACCAATTTGAAATGTTTTCCATCGTCCCTCCCCCCCCCCCCAAACACCATGTTCCCTGCAGCACCATATTCAGAACCTATCCCCATCTGCACAACACATGGAGTGCAGAGAATAATGCTAAAGACATTTCAGGCTCAACAGGACAGGGTTTTTCTTCTGTTTTTGCAGACAGATGAATATCGGCACCATCATAAGAAAAAGCCTGTCCCTGAAAGGAGAGCCACAGACTCTAGAGGATGCCCCCAAGTCAGACTGGGGCAAAGTCCTCCATAGCAGCCTATTCCCAAGCCCTTGGAGTCAGAAAGGAGGCTGTGGCCATCAGGTGATTGGAAAGGCTACCACGAGTCACAAGTCTAGTCACCAACAGTGATCCTAAGGCACGGCACACACGTGCAACAATGCATTGCTTGCGAGAGGAATTTGCATTTTATCTGCACGATAAGTATTCTATATTTTTGATAGTCTCCCTGAATGGTGCTGTGAGCATTAAACTTTTTTTTTTGTAGAAAACAGAAAAATTTCACAAGTTGTAAAAATATTTTTGGAGGGTTTCTTATTGGAAAATTATTGGGGGTGAGCTCTTTGGGGGCGGGTATGGGAAGGAGAGGGATGAAGAGGAAATATCGGGTACGGAATCTTAACACAAAAACCCAGGTCCCACTTCCCTCTCCAGTTCTCTCCACAGGGCCTGGATTTCTGAGCCTCTGAAGGTACAGACAGCATTTAAGCAAGTGCAAACTTTGCTTTGTGGCTTCTAAGCATCTTAAAAGCAGCAAGGTTTGGGGGTGGGTGGGAGGTGGAGAGTGCTAGTAATGATTTTCCCCCAAAAGTAGATTCCATGTAGAAAGTAAATATACCAAATTTCATACCTGCTGTGCCCATCTGGGATTTTAAAAGCAGCAGAGAACCCCAATGCTGCTTTGCCCCTAAGCAAAGACAGTTACCATCCGATACCGGCCTGATCAGTGTGGAATTGGCTTTTGAAAATCAACCTAGAATGAAACATGCTGAAATGAACTGCAATGGGAAGACAATTCTAGATGTGGCTGGAACAACGGCAGGTAGCTAAGTTTTTCTTCTAACCCAAATTTCTCAGCTATCAGCACTAGAACATTAAGAGATCTCACCAAGAGTTGCAAACAAACCCAGAGCAGTCAGCTTCTTTCTCCCGCCCAGCTTACAGAACCTGCTGGGTTTACACAAATCAAGCGGCATCACACTACCTACCAAAGAAACGATGATTCTAAAAACACCACATGTTCTTGCCCCACAAGAAACGGAGCCCCCAGATGAGCCCGTCTGGCCTTTTTCTCCTCCCGTGTGTGCAGAGCCCAGAAGGGTTCCCCACAGATTGGGGAAGGAGTAATATAAACTCCATGCACTGACTCAGGGATGGAGGTGCAGCCGCAGGCTCACTGAAGGATGAAGCCAGGATGTGGAGGCAGCCTGGGAGGAGGTCTCTGAGGGAGGGCCGGGGGGTACGGTGATGCAAACTGAGCAGGGTATCCTGGCTGGGGGTTGTGACTAAGAGAGGGAAGGCCCACCCTGGGAGGAAGAGGAGGGCACTGCAATCCCGGGTAAGGAAGGGCCTGTCCTGATCCCATGGCCACTGTAAATGGAGTCGCGAACCGTCCAGCAGGGACTGGGGGTGGTGGCGGAGGGATACGCCGCGGCACAACCGAAGGGGGCACACTGACATCTGAAGCTGGGTAGGGCACCATGGGAGCTGGTGTTGAATCTGGCACCCTAGGCTGCAACTGGACTTGGGCCTTTGGAAGTCTCTGGCCCTTGAGCACCATTTCCTGAAGTTTCTCAATTTTTACTCGACGTAAATGAGCGAGTTTCCGCTTATTTTGATATTCGTCAATGAATGAATCTAGTGGGACTTCTCCGTCAAGGAACTTCTCCGCCATGTTCTGAAATGAGGAGCAAACACCGAGTTAGAGGCTGTGGAATCCAAACGGAAGCCACAATTCTGTACCAGAGGCCCTCTGGGGCTCCCTGGCTCCCACATGAACAACCGAGGCGGAAGGAAGGAAACCACTGCCTCCGTGTCAGTCAGTTGGGTCACTCCTGATTTGGACCCCATCTACTTCTGTGACTCTTTCCTGAAAGATGGGCGTAAGGACAGAAATATGTTTATGTCCCTCGGTCCCTAAAAAGACCGTTTAGCAAGGCTCTGCCCACCCAGAGTCACCTGCCAGGCTCTGGCCTCTTCACAAAGCCGAACTTCAGGGCTAACCTAGTGGCACGGGGCGACATTCCTCAGCTCTTACTGAAGCCTGAGCAAACACCACTGCGTCTCACAGTCCAACACATTGTCAGACAGTTCCCTTACAGGCCTCCTCTTGCCTGTTCTCTCACATTTGTTACGGCAGCTGGCTAAAGAAAAGGCCAATCACGTTTAGGAAGCCTGCCAGCTGTGCTCTGCTCTGTGTCACCTGCACCCAGGCCACATTGTGCTCCTGACCATCTGCACACATGCCCCAACCAAGTTTCATCAGCCTCAACATCCCCTGGCACGCCACCTGCTGCAGTCTGCAGCTCTCCAGCATCTCCTGTGTATTTCTTATACAAAGCCCACGTAACAGACAGAATTACAAGTTTATAATTGACTGGCCCTGACTCCACAGGAAGGGTCTTATTTGTTCTACTGTGGAGACCTTTCCCCAGTGCTGTAGCCTAAAGGTAGGAAATACTGGGATGTTCAATTCAACATATATTAAGCACCTACTGTATGCAAGTGTGTAAAGCCCTGTGTTGAGTGATGGGAATACAAAGTCTGAGTCCCTGGCAACATGACAGTTCACCTTACCTCTGTATCTTCTTCAATCTTAGCTCCTTCTGTTTGAAGAAGGGCTAGCAACGTCTCCAGAGAAGCATTGCTGGATTGCTGATCTGTAAAATGCAAGACAAAGGAGAGTGAGGTACCCAGACACTTCTCGGGAGTCCCCCTCCTTCTTGGAAGGTGCACACACCTGGCAAACACACCACCTTTTAAACTGCTCTTCTGAAAGTTGCGACTGAGTTTGTTTTAATTTGGGAAGCCAATAGGAGAGACATTTTCCTGCTGATAACTGGTTATTGTCCTGGGAAACAATGCTTCCCACTGCTCCTGAAGAGAAGCAAGCACTGTACCAGGAAACGCCCCGCCAGGGGCGCTCTGGGGATGGCCCGGAGCCACCCAAGAGCACATGTGCTACTTGTGCCAATATACCATGGCCATAACAAAAGCTCACAGTATTACAGAGTTGAAAAGAAAACTACCACACTCAGTTTCTCTGAGTACTGTTAAAGTACTCAATATTTACACCAAATAATTTCCTGATTTTTTTTCATACATAAAATATGAAATTTAGCATTACAACAAAATGTTCTAAGCAGAGAGGTTTGAGAGAAAGGAAAAGTAAACAGCGATATTAATTATTTTTCCACATTTAATGCAATAGTTACATTTTTTCAATATTATATTGGGGGATTATACTCATTACATGGGAGGAGGAATATGGCAGCAAGCCAATTCTGTTCCTCCAATTCTATTTCCAGAAGACTGCCATGCTCTTCTGTAGTCTAGAGAAGGTTATGGTGTTAGGATAATGAAATAAAATCTGTTTGTAATAGACAGCAAAATTCTAAAACTGAACAACTTCTCACTGCCACTGAATTCTAGCATCTAAACTTTGTCATGGATCACCATCTACCTGAAAAATGTCCTTCCATGCCTTGCATTCTTAAAAACACCACCCCAGGAAAGTTACCTAATTTGGTTTTCTTGATCTGATAGGCTTCAAAGAGAACCTGCAGTTCCTGGTATTTTTGGGTCAAACTGGCTTTCAAAGTGTCCAGTTGCGGTTGGTACAGAAGATTTCCTTCTGCCAGGCTCCGGTTGTTGGCAAGAGTCATCTCTTTGTTAAGCTGAACGTTCTGTGTCTGCACATAGGAGAACCAAAAGCATATTATCACAGTTTATCAGCAAGTCCCAAAAGACCTCTCTCAGAATGCGTCTCTCTCCACATACCCCCACCCATCTGTTTGCAAGCATTTTGACTTTGGCATGGTCTATAAGGGAGGCAGGTTTCAGTTCATACACAGTCCCACTGGTTTATATGCAGTCCTAGGATCAACTGTAATACTACACCCCACCCCCGCCCCCAAATCTTTAAAAGAGAGAGTGACAAGTAGGTTTTTTTACATCTTCTCAGGGTACTGTTTGACCTATTACTCAGTTATGTCTTTAATTTAAACATTTACAGAGAGACTTGAATTCCTGAATACTGCCACCAGTCCTTCCAGAAGATCACAGCTCTATGGGTTTAAGACTAGAATTTTTAAAAAAGAGATTTAAGAACCAGTTCTTTCAGAGGGCTCAGACAGTAATTTGGGATAGAAAGACTGGTACAGTGACAACTCAGCCTTAATAATCAGATTTAGAGATCAAAGGAAAAAATATAAGAGCCTAGGATTTCATTAAGTCTGAAGTGACATTGATTCTTCAGAAAGGGGGGTGAGGTGGGAGTTGATGCTTTCTTCAGACCCAGTTCTTTAAAGCTGCTAAATTGGAAAGGCTCATTATTCTCCTTTGGATTATCAGCTAACACCCTGCTTTCTGTAGTCCCACATTTTTCCTCCCAATAGATGGGAAATTATTCATTAAGACTTTTAAAAACCTGCTTTCTTAACTCTTAATACAGGCACCTAGGAAGAAGGAAAGAAATCAGTCAAAAAATATTTATCAAATGTCTACTATGTGCCTGCCTCTGTGTTAAGAACTAGAAGAAGAAAGAAAAATTCTCCAACCCCCCCAACAAAAGTGTAGCCAAAGTCAAAACTTCCTACCCACTCAAATATTTTGAGGGAAGCAGAAAAGTGAAGATTATCTTAAAAACAACAATAAGCATCTATGTATACTTCGACCTCTCCTTTTCTCTTTCCTAGGATCTCTTTTATATATCACAACCTGCCCAGTGACCTCTTGACCTCTCCCTAGCTTTTGCATTTCATCAGGACAAAATTCCTTACCAGTTATCTGTCAGAGTTCTGGTCCACAGCCTCTTGTCCAACCCAAACTAGTCCTCTACTCCTCTCCTTAACATTTCTCTCCCTCTCCCCTCCCCCATCTATTTTAACGACTATTAGCTTCCTCTGGGATGAATTTAGTGTACATTGCCTGACAGCCTGTTCATATTCATTTATAACCATGCATAATGCAATGTATATTCAAATGAATGTACCCATAAAGGAACAGAGACAAAAGCTTCTCCCAGTTTTCTCCCAGACACACTCAAGACACATAAGATAACCACATTAGGAGCTCAACTTTTCATATACATTAACACTATCATGCAAATTAGCTGAGCCACAGGCAGAGCTACAAAGAAATCAGGCCCAGCATAAAATCAATTCAGTTAAATTAAAAATTAAAAATAAGACTAGTCACCATGGTACTGTCAAAAAGCAGTGAATATTCCAAATTCAGAGCAGCCAGAAGAATCATCTGCCTCCCCTGCTATTTTCAATGATTAACTCAGACCATTCTGTACTCAGGGGGAAGTGAGGCGAAGAAAAACAAGAGGATCAGAGCACTGAAGACTAGTTCTAAAAATAGTGATCTTTAATACACAGCAATTTATGTTCAGGACACCTTACCTCCACAAGTATGACTGAATTCAGAAGAATAAAAGAGGCGTACATACAGGGGGCACAGTCCTTCTGTAAGGAAACACACCTAGCCGAACTTGTTCGCCCCTAAGACCGTCCCCTTTCAAAAGTCGGTTTATGAGGTTTTTTAATTTTCCAAGGAACTGAAACGCCTCCTACCTAAAAGCTGGAGTATTTGCTGGAAATTAGTCAAAGAAGCTCCCTTTGACTGTGCACTACCGGCTCAGAAGTACCTCTTCCCTGAGCGTAGCCCACCAGGCCCAAGAGTAATTTCAATAATTCAGGGTAGGACAAGGCAAACAGTCTAGAATTGACTGTAAAATTCAACAATATCTAAAATCTTGCTCTACCAGAACATTCTAGTACTCAAAATCATTACTTATTTCATTTGGTATCCCAAGATTCCTGGATAAAACTTTCCTAAGCAAGGAGTTTCAGGGAGCAAGGACCTTTTAAATTTGGGGTATCAGAGCTTCTGGTAGAAAAAAGGCCTTTTTAAATAGTTTTGAAGGGTAAACCAGTCAACCTACTTAATTCTCTAACTGGAATGGTTCCCACACCATCCTATTTCCTTTCATCTCTAAGCTTAAAAGTATAAGGGACATACACAAATAATCAAAAACTCACAAGTGGGAAAGCAAACCATCTCCCAAAGAAACCATCCAAAAAATTTCAATCTTCAAACGAGGCAGCATTAAAATGGGACTAAAGGGCAACGGTGAGAAAGCCTAAATGACCAACAGCACACTTCAATAGACTTCCGGCTTTTACATACAGCCTTGGCATACCATAGACTTGTAAAGATAAGGAAACTCATACTCAGAGGAGGCTAAGAACAATCACGAATGCAAGCCCACCAAATGACCAAAAACAAGAAAACAGCCAATAAGATGGGAAAGCTATCCACAATTAGCCCCACCACTTACGCCTTTTTGGATTGACTCGAAATTTAAATGTACACATCTTATCTAGAAGTATACTTGGGAATACTTGTAGAAAGCACACTCCGTTTCAGACATAAAATTCACAAAAGCATCATTACCTCAAGACACCAAGAATAGTTACAAGTAGTCTTTCAAAAAGCAGGTCCTCCATGACCTCAAATCAAATAATGCATATAAAGTGATTTGCAAATTTTAAGGTACTCTATCAATAATAATTATTACTATTAATAATAACACATTGTATATATAGCCTACCAGTCCCTGAGACCTGATTAACAGATGTCCCCAGCAGAGATCTGGCATGTTTTTAATGGTACTTGCAAAAGACATGCATTATCCTGGGAGCACAAAGTAGTAGAGACCAGAAGGAGGCTGCGATAACAAAGTATCTCTTAATTATCAAATGGCAACTATATACAATAACCTTGGGAAGAATGTCTGGAAACAATAATGGTCAGAGTTCTGTCATGATCTATACTCTTGTGGAATGTCTTCCAAACCAGATACATATTACAAGGTGAAATTTGAAGACCCAAACTGTCCCCAGTCTGGCACTTCCATCTACAGTTATAATCTTGCATCTATAAACACTGTGGTAGAAAATCTCATCATTTCCATGCTACTTTTTTCAGAAAAATGCATTCTGAACTACTTACCCAAGCACACAGAGGTCTCTCCCTCTTTATCCAATCATACAAACCTTACTATTCACTTACTACATAGAAAGATCCATTAGTGACAGAAAAAGCACTCCATTCACCCACTCGTCTTACCAGACAGTCATAAGTTGTTGTGGCCAAAAGAATTAATCATACGGTGGCCAGCACTCCAGTGAGGCCCTCCACACTTAACTCCTCAGAAAACAGACCCAGTTTCTAGATCCACACTCCAAACTTTCCTAGCTCTCGTACTCCAATGGCAAAGCCTTATAGAACCCAAGGTCACCCTACCAGAGAAATGACTAGGATTTTTGCAAAGGTAACAAGTGAAATAAATCACCCGATCTCGTGTTAGGAATCTACACAAGAATGGAATAAGGCATGCAGAGCAGGCATCTCATTTGACCCTCACAGCAGCCCTAAAAGATAAGCACTCATCATTCTATTTTGCAGATGAGTCGACTGAGAAGATCAGAGAGGTGAAACGGCCACTCATCTAGTAGGTGTCAGACGTCTCATCTGAACTGAGGCTTTGCCTGAGTACAACCTTCCTTTGCCACATCCTTCCTTTGCACTATACCACACACTGCCTCTAAAAGAAGCAGAATTCTAGTGCCTAAGAGAAACTAACTAGAGCATTCTTCAAAAACTCCAAAGGAAGACAGATGCAATCTGTTCTAAGCGATGAGAGACAGCAGCGGGCGGGGGGGGGGGGGTTAGAGCATGTTGAGTGTGACTCTTGACGCAGGACTAAACTTTAGAAAGCATTAGTCATCAGAACGACGTTTGTATTTAAACAAAGAAACAGCACAACAGTTGCCTCACTTGTTCTGCTCAATTTTAAAGTTACTCATTTTGAGCTGTCTACCTACTAAGAGCAAAGACTGGTGAACAACAAGGCTATACTGGAGTAATCTGACTTTCACTAATGGGTCTCAATTTTCTCATCTGTAAATTAAGGTTTATATGTCACTAGGCAATTGTGAGGCCTTAAAGCTTCACTAAAAATTTGACACACCACGTATTTTTAATGACAATAAAGTATTTTTAAATCATAATATCGAGGTTAAGCAAATAATGCTTATCTATCTAGCCTCTATACGAGGGAAAGGTAAGAGACCAGCTCTTTTCTAAACTGTTATCTCCCCCAGCACTGAGTACAATAAGTACTACTTATATGTTTGCTCAATGATTATTAAATAATATCCTACATTAATGGTTACTATTAATAAAAATAGCCATGATGTCTAATGAGAAACTATTTTGCACTCCCATAATGACAGCATAGCCTTTGCTTTGAAGTGGAGGAAGAACAAAAAGTAATTTTGATTATGATTATAATTGCAGCTGATTCTAAACAAAACTACTCAGCAGCATTATTGCAGAGTACCACTGAACTGCACTGGCCTTCCAAATGAAAGGTGCAGTCCTTTAGCCAAAAAAAAAAAATTCTCAGATGTAATTTCAAAGATTTGTCAAGATAAGCTAATAAATGATCTGAAGACATGACTCATGCATGTCCTTATCTTTTTTTTTTAATAATATGCAGGAAAACGACTACAATTGTATTACACTCCATTAGTGTACTTTCTTCAAGCACAAGCTTTGAATTATGCCAATCATTAACTAAAGCTTGTCTTGTTGACAACTAAAATTAAGTCAACAGTTA